CATAATTTATTATCATATTTTGCATGAAGACTATAGAAAGATGTAACTTTTATTTTAAAAAGTATAAGTGTGAGATGTGTGAATGTGCATGTTTTTATCACATATTTTATTAGAAATTATTAAAATCATTAAGTGCATCACATAATTACATAATAATTATTTTCCTCTAAGCTTAAAAATATTTTAAAACATACCAATCCAAAAAGATGAAGAATAAGATTTCCATGTTTTCGTACTATATTAAAAGCTTGACAACATAAATCGACGAAATGATGAAATTTCGCTGAAGGTTTATCACCACCATTTATAACATATGCCATATCAGACGTCAGTACAAATGGCGTCCTATCTCTGATTAAAAACATAATAGCAAGAATACATTGTATCAAGATTACATTTTTTTCTTTTTTATTCTTTTAAAATATAGTACATAGTGTAAGTGCAGAAATAAATAAAACGTAATATATTATGATATACATACCTCTTAAAGTTTCCAAACATTTGCGCATCACCAAGAAATTTTCCAAAATCAATATGAAATAAATGACCAGATGTCTTTAACATAATATTGTCATTATGCCTATCACAAATTCCTAAAATATAAGTGGCAACGCTGTAGCCAGCGCAAGAAGCAGTAAAATTATCCACCGCTCTTTCATATTCCAGTTCCGAAGGATTATGTTTCGCTAACCATTCCGCGATCGGTCGATCCTTAAATGATCCTGTTAATCCAAACTCGACTTGGATTCTTCGTAACGTTTCTGCATTCGTTACCATTTCTATCATTCCGCGTTTGTGACCGGTGGGTACACAAGCAAAAGTAACCATTTTTAAATCAAGGCCTTCCTTCAACCACAATTTGTCCATAATGCGTACCATCTGAAGGGTCAACATATCCTGCTGCAAATCATCACCAACCTAGAAAAAAATACAATGTGTATATTAATATTAAAGTTTTTGGAAGAAGATAATGTTTTGTAGGATATTTTTACTTATTGAAAACGTACCTTGAATATCGCCGGGTTTATAACATTGTCACAACTGATAAAGTTAATTTTTAATGGAAGAGTGAACGATGGAAAATAGGCACATGTCTGTACATTGATACCGAATACTAATTTACTAGGAGATAGTGGTAAACATGTTCCATCGTCTTCCTTTAAGTGGCAGTGTATTTCTTGTAAACCAGTTTTAAGTGTATCCATTCGTAAAGATTCCTTTGTAACTTTAATATTTTCAGCCACTTGATGCAGGTTCTGTACAAATTACAACTTAAAGTATGTTTGGAATAAGTAAGACCATTTGAAGTAAACAGGATATAATAAAAGTTAAGACCTACTTTAACTAACAATTGTTGAGTGAGAAAACTGTTTCTCAGCGCATCTCCGATAACTGCTAATAGAGCTCTCAACATTAATTGTAATCTTCGTTGATAACGAGCACAACTAATTGCTTTGTCATCTTCCGTTGAGATTTCAGCAGAATTCTATAAAATAAATGCGCTTTATAATTTAATATAGAAAAGTTCAAATAACATATTAGCGATATATTAATATTATTAATACATATCGCATGAAGAAATTCTCTATGCTTTAATTATACAGTTATAAAAAAAAGTTATTTTTCATTTACAAGCCATATAATAAGTATTTAATGCAAATGTGTAAGTATTTAACAACATCATCAATGCTGATCATCCAACCTGTACCTGGGGACTTTGTCCCGGCAGAGCTTGATTTAACAACCAGTAAATATAATGAGCCACTCTTGGTGAAAGTAAGGCACGTTCTAATAAGAATCGAGTTAGAGGTGATGCTTCATATGTCTCATGTTTTATTGCTTGAAGTAATTGTGGTAGATAATCAACCAATTCATCATTATTTAATTCGCGGATCCAATCAACTGCCATCTCTCTAACTTTCATATCTGGGAAGCTATAAGAAAACGACGTTTTACAAAACAGTTCTTCAGAAGTTGTAATAAAGAAATAATCGATAAGTAATGCATACCATGGTAAAAGTAATTGTAATGCTTGTACTGGAGGCAGTGGACTCCAAATTCTAAGCGACGCATGTAAATCTGGTAGACAAGCCCAATCCCAACTGTGTGCAGCTAGTAATACTTTTGGTAACGCTTCAGGTCTATCATGTAAATAATGCCTTTTCTCCCATAAGATTTCTCTTTCATCGATAGGCGGTCTGGAAATAGAAATCAGCTTAAAAAATACCATTTAAAAAATTTAAATCTATATTTTTAATCACATAACTACAACATACCTCGAAAATGTATCTTGCTGTGTAATGTCTATTAATAGTTCTTGCGTATTTTGATCTAACGAATTAAAATCTAATGATTCCACGTCATAATCTCGCAATTCCGAAGAATTGGGGAATAAAACCTTTCCCCCATAATCGGGTAATTCTAGTCCTATAATGGGATGAGTATCGCCGCGGGGATGAATTCCAGGCGCTGGCGCTGGACCTAATCGTTTGTCTGCGATAGCTGGCCAAAGAGACAGAAAAAAACTTCCTTGGCTCATAACACTAGAATTAAAATAAAGATATATAAAGATATATGTATGAAGCAACGAAAAATACAAGGTGACTATAAAAGTTTCAAAGATAAAAAGCTGAGAACAATTTGTGGCAGATGCGTTACCCGTCATAATCGAAGAATTGTATAGCACCCCATCCAAGTTCTTCTTTTTGCATTGCATTCTCTGCAGATGAATTAGATTCGTGCTCCGCAGGCTGCAGCGTACGTCCATAAAGAACTAACACAAGTCTTGCCTCCCGTGGCACTTGACACACACTTACTCCACGAAATTCCAACCTTATAATTTGTATAATTTTTATTAAATCTACATTTGGAATTTTCGATCATTGTAAATGTATTCTCGTACTTACCATGAATTAAATAAAATTCTTGGATAAAAATTCGTGCTAACCGTCATTGGTTCCGACAAAACCGGATTTCCTACAGGTCTGGTTCCATGAAAGATTTGAGCTGCCACTATATAATCGTCATGCTTCCATGTGGTTGGTAACCTATGCAAAGCTCCAACACGCACCAAAATAGTATCGATTACTTCTGTCGCAATCAGTGTATCTATTAAGAGAAAGTATATCATAATTATATCATAATTTTATCTTATACATATTGCGTTAGAAAATTAGTGTAACTTCTTACTTGTTGGAAATTCTCCTTTGCTATTCAATTGAAAGTCGACCTTAAATGCATGACAGTATG